GTTAAGGCAGTGCTGGAAAATAACGGTGCTCAAACAAAATATTGACACTTTGGGCCCAGTTTGGACATTTTCACTTAGGGGTGTACTCACTTTTGTTGCCAGTGGTTTAGACATTAATGACTGTGATGTGTTATTTTGAGGGGACAGCAAATTTACACTGTTAAACAAGCTGTACACTCACTACATTACATTGTAGCAAAGAGTCATTTCTTCAGTGTTGTCACATGAAAAGATATAATCAAATATTTACAAATCTGTGAGGGGTGAACTCACTCTTGTGAGATACTGTAATGTGAATAACGGATGCAGCTGCATTAGAGTTACTGTTGTGTATGCTGCCATGTGTCCTTACAGAAACCTCACTATTGTATCCCTTGTACTTCTGACACTCTTGCTTGCCTTTTATAGATGCTGTTACAATTAATTAAATGAATACATTTTTTTACAACATCAATGCCAAAGAACTCCACTATTGTCCAAAAAACTATAAAAGAAAATACATATTTACATGGACAATGTAATTTACAAAACAAAATTAGCAAAGCAATATAAACACACTGACCATGTACAGTGGCATAACTCTCCAAAGATCAAAAATGCCTGCAGTTTATTCCTCCTGGATCCTCCTATTGCTCCTAATGCCATTTGCAAACAGCTTTAATGCTGTCATTTTCCTTGAAAAGCCTTGGAAACACTTATTTTCCCAAAACAGCTTTGCAGATGGCTGACTAAACGTAGCTGTACAAATTAGCTGGTGATTATTCTCAAAGCGTCCTTTTGATGGTCACATTTAATATCTTTGCAATATTCATTATTTCGGACCTTGCACCTCTGTATTTGCATGCTCCTTGAATCTTCACATATAAAGACTGTGAAGTTTATCTTGATGCTTGAGATGCATAATACAACAGAATATAAAAATGGTTTTGATTTGTGTAAATCAACTAGTTTGTGTCAGTGACACTCTACATGAGGTTTTCTTTGGAAACATTATGGTGGTTAGATTAATATACTACACACTGTTCCAGTGATCTTTTGTTCAGCTTGATCCAAACAGTTTCAGGCTGGTGGAACAGTGTTTTAAACGAGTTGTGGTGACCCAGCTGCAGCTGTAATCACAGTATAAGTTCTACAGTGTGTCCCTATCCTTGGCTGCTGCTGCAGAGACTGCTCCTGGAAATCATTCTCCTTGTACTCATGGCAGATCAGTCCCAGTCACTGACCTGAGTAATGGCGATGCTCAGTACTGTATTGTCCTCTGCCGCGTTGCCGTGGTGACTGAAGGAGAGAGTACCAGCATGCCACAGAGAAGGTTCAGCAGAGTTGAAGAGTCACCGAATCTCTGACCTTTCTGTCGTGTGTGGCTGACTATACTGCCATTTATAGACACAGAGACAGGCTGGCAAAGAAAGAGGCAGTAGGCAAGAGGTTTTCATGTTTCACCCTCTCTGTATCCCATTACCTGCTTTTCTCAGCCAACCTTAAATTTGATTGCAATTTTTTTTCAGTAACATCCCACCTCCATGGATCAAATTCAAGTCCCTGGTGCTGCCATTCAAGCATGCTGTGGATGCTGCATATCTCTGTGCCATGGTGTAAACCTACACCCTACACCTCTAGCCATTCACTTTTATAAATTTACTCCCAATTTTGTGGTCTTTCTTAGCCCAACTCCTCTCAGAATACTCATAGATGACCTCTGTACTCCAGAGTTGTCTTCTGTCACAATTTGTCTTCTGACCTGAAAATATATATCTCAAGAACCTGTTTACGGGTCTTGGTCTGCCTACCTTCCAACTCTGCTGATATCTGATGGTGCTCAGATGGTGTTTACTCCTCTGTCATGCAGTGGTGGAAAGTAACTAAGTGCATTTACTCAAGTACTGTAAGTGCTAAGTGCAATTCTGACGTACTTGTACTTCAGACGTGCACATCAGCAAGCTTAGAGAAGGTGGAAGAAACTCAGTGTCATGAAATCCTACATCAGTATCTGTCTATCAGAGAGAAAGCTGATTTTATTTCTAAACTGGTCTCCAACAACTGTCACAGGCCTCAGATTCTTGTTAATATGTTTAACACCCTTACAAATCCCAATAATTCTGCTCCTAGAATTTTAGAAAAGAGGTCCAATGTAGGTATACTAAAATTCTTTGTTGAAAAGATTTTTGCCCTTCGATCCTCTGTAACCACATCCTCTGACCATGATCCCCCTCTTCCTCCTATGTACCTTGCGGTCCTGGATCAGTTTGAGTCCATATCCGTCACCTCCCTATCTGAGGTGGTCCATCATCTGCGGCCCACAAATTGTCCCTCTGACAGCATTCCCTCTCGTCTGATTAGGGAAGTCTTTGACACCGTTGGACCGTGTATTTTGTCATTGATAAATACCTGTCTTGTCTCTGGTTATGTTCTATCCGCCTTTAAACACGCTGTTGTACAGTCCCTGCTAAAAAAGGAAAATCTCGACCCCTCTGTTCTTTCTAACTTCAGGCCCAGCTCTAAACTGTCTTACTTATCTAAAGTCCTGGAGAAAGTAGTATTTTACCCAGCTGCAAACATTTACACACTATTAATCATAATGTTTATGAAAAGTTCCAGTCAAACCCTGTCACAGCACAGAAACTGCACTTTTAATAGTTTTTAATGAATTGATTTTAACTGTTGTTTCTGCAGTCTCTGCTGTCCTAGTGCTCTTAGACCTCACTGCTGCTGATACTGTTGACCACTCAATCCTCTTGTCACAGTTGGAAAACTGTGTAGCAATTAAAGGTACTGCACTTAAATGGTTTCGATCCTACCTTACAGGTAGGAGTTTCTCTGTTCACCTCGGTGATTATTCCTCTGAGAAGGCTATCTCCCTGCTAAAGATATAGAGAGGGTGATTAATGCCTTCATAACTTCCCGTCTTGACTATTGTAACTCCTTTTATGTGGGCTTAGACAAGTGATCTATTCACCGCCTCCTGATAGGAAAGAAGAAGAGGGACCACATCACACCTGTCTTGCGCTCCCTCCACTGGCTTCCTGTTCATTACAGGATTGATTTTAAAATCTTACTTTTAACTTTTAAATGTCTTTATGGATTGGCTTCACTTTACTTAACGGAGCTTCTTAATGTTCACACTCCAGCTGAGATCCGCCAATCTCCTCCTCCTGGACGTACCCAGAAGCAGACTTAAAACCCGAGGTGATGTAGCTTTTGGTGTAGCTGCCTCCTAAACTGTGGAACAACATGCCAGTCCATATCAGAACCGCCCCAACTCTCAGACGCTTTAAATCACTGTTTAAAACGCATCTCTTTTCCATGGCATTTCTATCAAGTTAAGTCTGTTATTATCCCTGGCGAATTTAATATCACTATCATTATATACTGTATGTTCTAATGTTTTATTGCTGTACTTATTTTTTACTTATTTTTTTATTGTTGTATTTTTAACCTGTAAAAGACCTTGGTTGTTTTTAAGTGTGCTATATAAATAAAATTGAGATTGATATTGATTTCCATTTTATGGTAATTTAGACCTCTACTCCACTAAAGGTCTGTGTCAATGCCACTGAGGGCAAAAGTATTATTAAAACATACAAGCTCATTAAATACAAAATATTGTTAAGATTAAACCAGTGGTTGCTATTACTTACCCATGAACCTCTCACAAGTCAATCAGGCTAAACTGGTGGCTTGTTTACATCCTGTGTGATCAATCATCTAAGTGCATGTTAATTGCCCTGTCATACTTCACTTTAGTCATTGCATTGTTCCCAGACCAGACAAATGACAGCCAAATCTACACAAATAAGACCCTAGTTGTAATAAACCGGAAGGAAATATTTGTTGGTGTGTGCTTTCAGCACTCGTGTAGACAAGTAGTGTCCTTCCACATTATCTCCGATGTCCCCCCGCAGTTCCGTTATGTCTGTCACTACCCTTTGTATACTGTCTAATAACATAAAAACATCCCTCCCTTGACAAAAACAAAATCTCCTTGGTGTCTTTGACAGCCTTGTTTTGTCCTTCTAAACCCTGTGGGCTCTTGTCAGGAAAGACCCCTCCATTCTCACTGCAGTGTCTCCCTGAGAAAAGTTGTCTTTTTCATCTTTCTGTCTCGACATCCCTAGGGTTAATGCGTAATCCCTGCCTCAGAGGCTGGCTGAGCGACAGATCGAATGCCTGGGGTGCACTGGGGCTGCGGCAGCTACAACTTTTTCTTTCTGCACATTAGACTCACAAATCGACCGCCCGGCAATCTCAAAAGCCTTGTGTGGGAAGCAAAAGAAATGAAAAGAACAGTCGAACGTGTAAAAGCACACAATGAAGTACGAGAACTGTGCAGTACACCTGGACTGGTTACTGTTCACATCAAGGTGGATTTCAGTACAGTTGTCCTGGGACCTCTCATGATAAGCATTTTTTCTAAATGAAGATCTTGTCATCTTGACTTTTTGTTACAAAGTGGTGAATAGACTAGAGACTGTCTGGACTAGAATGAAAGGCTATTACATGTTAGTTATTTAATGCACTGTTTCTCTGGAAAAGGGATCCCTTCTCCCTGATGTTACAGCATCTCTGCTTCTTTCTAATTATTCAGTATTTTAAAAGGGGGAGAGATAATAGCCAAAATTATAAAAAATATTTCCAACTATATTAGTATTCGATCCCCCCCATCCGTCCTCCCTGCCAGGCTCCGTGGATCTGTCTCCCAATTGACAAAATTTACCATAAATGTAACACTGCTTCTTGTCAGAATCATTAAAGAGAAAGAGAGAGACAGAAAATTAACACAGCTATTTTAATCAATACTTTCACTTTTACTACTTATTTTTGATGACTGTGACTGAAGCTATTTCTGCTGTTGCACGCTAAATACAACTTCCAAATCCATTCAACACTTTTGGTTGATCTTCAGAATTTCTGCCTCCAAGGATTTTCTCTGTAGCCTCAAAAGTGTAACAGCCACACCTATGCGGTCAACTAATCTTCTGACTTTTCTTTGTCTTTTGCAGAGTATGCTGAAAGCATCGGTGATGGGAAGAGTGATGAGTTCAAAGAGGCTGAGCGGAAAAGGATTATGGACCTTGTAGACAACTTCTAATGTCACTTGCTCTCTCATACACACACACACACTCACCCTCAAACACAAACAATATATTCTTACACATCAGAAAATTAAAACCCCACTGTTCTGATTTGGGACTGATGGTGACCATGACCTTGAGCCGGTCTGTGAGCTGAGGAGATAAGGATGTGGGCTGTTTTTCCCTAACGTAACTAAAGTCACTGGTTATGTTTAAATGCACAGCAATAAAATAAAAGCAACCCTTTATTTACTTATTTTTGTGGTTTAAAGAAAGGTACTTCTTAATTTCAGTAATTGCTGTGCATGTAAACCTGCTCACTATAGAGACAATAGGAGTTGAGTTTGGAGAGCAAAAGATTGGAGCTTGACTGAAACACACAGCGAACATAAGATGTACTCGGGGCTACAGTGCTGTATAATTTCCATACTGTGGCTTTGAATACTGCAGGATAATTATGGACAGAGTTTGCTCTGGTTTGTTTGTTTTGGATTTATGTGTGAAATATTTTCTAATAAAACATTTGGTAATAAAATCCTGATTGCATGTTTGGTTTGTTTGATTAATGTCACAGTTTCTGCACATGAATCTCATTATGCCTACGCTTGGTTACTGTTGTACAGACTCACAGATGGTGACACTAAACCTATATCTGCAGCATCCTTTGCAGAGAGAGAATCCTCACAGAAAGGCAGACCTGATTCCTCTTTATTTGTCTGAACCCACCCACTGCTGGTTCTCAGCAGCCTCCCGGAGCTCTCAGCCCACTGCTGTTTTTCTTTGTGACGCGGTTCTTCCACATCAGTGTGGAGGTGTAATATGGTAGAGCTGTATACACTAACAAACCTACTGTAGTATCCCTGTCCTGTGCACCATACTTTTTTATCTTTGTTTTTATGTTTAGGAGCAAAAAAACATTCCCAATTAGGTGTGCATTTTGAGAGAAGAAGGATCAGTGCATGGAGGATATGGAAGAGAATATTTTGCAGAGACTTATTTTTTTGTCTGATTTTCTGAATTTTCATAGCAGACCAATTGTACTTAAGGAAAAACTGTTTTCTAAATATATATTATCAAAGTACAGCAAGGCGCTTTAACGTCAAGATGACACTTATCCTTAAGCTCAACGTTAAGCCAACAAGCATGGGAAATCTTAAGTGCTCAGAATAAGTTTGACAATCTACAGTTCCAAAACAACTATGAACACTAGAGCGGCTGATGACCATTTTCTGTTTGAAATCTCTAGAAGAAGCTAGTAAGAGGACCTTACTAATGTAGTAGAATTAGGCAGCTTATAACTGTCTCCCATATGAACCAGACGCAGCATCCATTTGTATTAGTGGCTTGTCTATAGTATATTCCTGTAATACTAAACACTCATGTAGTATACCACACCCTCTTTGGATCCCTGACCATAACCCTGGCAGGAAGCAGCAGTGTTAGGAGGGAATGGGGGACTGCTCACTGACAGCTGTCACATCTGTTGCCTTTCCTAAGTCTCTTCACAAACTCTTAATATCATTCAGTAACAAGATGGGTTGAACGGCAGGGCGTCGTTTGCATATTGTATTGGCGGCAATGGCCTGGCACCATGCATCTCTTATCAGTGATTATGACTGCGGCGTGTTTAACAGCGGTTGTACTGCAATTTCACAGCTGAGGGGAAGGAGAATAATTGTATTTTCCGAATGACTGAGTGCAAACACTGTGCACTGCTGTGCTTTTGGGCTCCTCTCTTTTAGTAGGGACTGACAGGAGAAGGTATTCTGTTATTGAGCGTAAGCACAGGAATTGATAGTGTAACACAGGTGCACTGCATCTTAAAGTTTTGACATATACAGGCCTCCAAGAGCTACTAATGTTACCATTTAGCACAAAGCACCACTGCTTTAGTACAGCCTCATAGAGCCGCCAGCATGACTGTAGACTCTTGGTCTTGTGAAAATATGCCCTCATCAGAAATAACCTATATTTCGACAACTCAGAATGAACCTGCCTCAACACTGGTAGAGAAACAACAACCAATCCCCTACCCCTGATAAAATCAGCATGGGAGGTGCATAGAAACAGTTAATTGCAGTTCTCTCTCTCTCTCTCACTCCCTCACTCCCTCAGCGCTTTCCATTGTTCTGAAACAACAGCTAAGCAATATTCTAGTATTTTGGCCAATAAATTGTCTCTGGGCCAATATAGCCTCCGGGAAGGCGCATTGGAATTATCTAATGTAATCGCAAAGATAATGCAATTATATTAGATCATTTCTCAAACATTGGTAGAACCAAAATATTTACATTACAGAATGCAACAAAATAAAACACAAGAAACAAGATGCAAAACAAAAGCATTTGAGGGGAATTGTTGCTTGTCACTGCCAGTAAGCACTTTCTCATGGTGGGAACTGTTAGGAAATATTACAAAGAGTACTCTCACTCCCTACATGTTACTGGACACTACCATAACACATTTATATACCATGATTGTTTTACTGGTGCATTGTATACATTATATTTTATCCCCAGTAAATGGGGCCTAATGGGGCACCAGAGGTAAACTGACCACCAGTTGGTGATCATCATGCAGGCAGCCTGCAATAGGAAGTTTCCAGTTTTTACACCCTTTGTGTTGTTTCTCTAATTATGGTTGACTGTTATGTAAAGTTGTGCAATTTTCTTTTTCCTCTTTTGAATGCCATGTCTCGGACTGAAAAAATTAACATGAACATCTGGGATAACACTTGAGAAAAAATGGGGACAAAAAAGAACACTGCATACTGACCTAAACCTGGAGGGAAAGCCACATGGTTCAGTTAAAAACACAATGAGTGGCAATGTGTATAAGTATTACAACTGTCTCTTATGTGAAACAGGTTGGCTCACAATTTGATAAAGACTGTTTACATGAAAGTAGGAGCTAGCCCGTGTCATTGTGCAGATTGTCAGTTGAAATTGTATCCTCGACTGTTCAATATGAGCAATGAGGCTGCATTTCAGCACAATGGACAGCAACACACCAAAGCCACAGTATGCCATGTCTCCTTGGCAAACACCACCGAAGGTATAAACCTGGGAAGGAGCTTATTACAGCAAGAGGATCTCTTAAAATCTAATTCAGTAACACTACATGCGGTCACATAGTGGTGACACTATGGGAGGCAGGCTGTTAGCAAGCACTTTGTGGAGCTTATGTTGCACCCGCATGTAGACTATGCTTGGCATTACAAAAACATGTTTATAGGTTTGTTATTTAGGTAACATTAATAAAACATAATAATACAAACATGTTAGAGCTTTGAACATTTTGGCGGTCTCCCGCCGATTCATAGAAGTGCATTTCCTTCACGAAAATTAAACGTCTTGAAGTTTAACGGTGGTGGATGTTTGTTTTTTTTTAATATCCCTCCTCTCCTCTCATAACTAATATTCCCCAATCCCCACTGCAGGCTACAGCACTTCCCATTTGGGAAAAGTCTCCTTCCGCCGCATGTAGAGCCGACTGAACGGAGGCAGAGCCTCAGTCAGTCTGCTGGTGTAGAGGGAGACTACAGCGAATTCTGCCTTTCTTTATTTCTCACAAGTATACCCGTCCCTTTCTCAACAAGCCTCCTGGATTTAAAATAAAACAAAAAAAACACATTTTCCGACGTACACTCCACCTGATGTGATAGAGACAGAGAGGGGAAAGGAGCGCACATATAACCGAAGAGAAATGGGAGCGTTCAGGGTGCTGCTCGGGAGTTTACATTACATGGGACTCTACATGCAACTTAGTGGCTCCACAAGACAAGCTGGACATGGCGAGATTGAGAACCACATCTCTGGGAACGGTAGGTGTGAGATCCGCTTCAGATTCCTCTCTTTTTTTCTTTTCTTTTATGAGATGACATCAACAGGGCTGTGGAGAGGACGGCATAGGTGATGCCATCTACTCACGTGCAGCAGAGAAATTAAACAAAGAAGCTGATGCTAATAAAATGCCAACTAATGCAAATGTATGTTTTCTTTGATTGTGTGTGAATACCCAAAGTGCTTGTGGTTTCTTGCTGCCGGGCATTACATGAAAAAGAGTTTAGGTCTTCACCATAGATCAACCTATCATCCAGTCAGTGCGTGTCTATGGTATTAGACCAATAAGATTTATTGTCTTCTTTAAATGTGGACGTTCAGACCATTTGCAGGTGACTCATTTTGGAAGGCTGAATATAAGGTGGTAGCCCTTAATGAGTGTATGGATTGTGTTCTTTGATATAATTGGTGGTGTAACCATCTGTGATGCCTGTTCTCATGACTGATTTTGTTTTCTCTGAGAGCTGCAGCTCTTCACCAGTGCTTCTCATCCTTCTCTCTCCTGATCAGTGGGTGATTCATCCAGACAGAACAGAGGTGATGTCAGCTGATAGATCGAAGTTAATATTTTCTTGTAGTATCCCCCTGAATTCTATACTGAACATCCTCCCCTCAGAACTGCCTCCCTCTCTCTCACCAGGAGCTTCCCTAAATGGTTTCCAGTGTTTACACTTTGTTACGTCATGCAGACTGACACACAGTGTGTCATGGAGTGTTATGGCTTTCTGGTTTGTTTCGGTAACTTTGGCTCAGCCTGCCAATCTCCACAGGTGTCATGCTGTGGTGCATGGCAGATGTGCCAGCAGCGCGATCTTTGTGTGGGTTGAAAATTACAGTAAGAAGGAGGAGATGGAGAATGAGCAGAGATTATAGCAAGTCTGAATGCATCAAAGCCCTTGAGGCAGCAAAGTTCAGCATTTTGGGAAATCATTCGGTTTCTTGCCTCTTAGCTAAGAAGATCGATACCACTCTCAAATCTATCTGTTAAATCTACACAAGGAGACTTTTAGCTTAGCTTAGCATAAAGACATAAGGTAGAATCTAATCTAAATTTGAAGTGCTCCCAGTAGGAATGTCCGGATGAAGTTTTTTTGGCCCTGATCCGAGACCTTTAGTATTAGGATATCTGCTCAGTCTAAGCCAATCCTTATATTTACAAATTTGTTGTTTAAATATGTATCTGACATACAGTGAGGAAAATAAGTATTTGAACACCCTGCTATTTTGCAAGTTCTCCCACTTAGAAATCATGGAGGGGTCTGAAATTGTCATCGTAGGTGCATGTCCACTGTGAGAGACATAATCTAAAAAAAAAAAATCCAGAAATCACAATGTATGATTTTTTAACTATTTATTTGTATGATACAGCTGCAAATAAGTATTTGAACACCTGAGAAAATCAATGTTAATATTTGGTACAGTAGCCTTTCTTTAGATTATGTCTCTCACAGTGGACATGCACCTACGATGACAATTTCAGACCCCTCCATGATTTCTAAGTGGGAGAACTTGCAAAATAGCAGGGTGTTCAAATACTTATTTTCCTCACTGTATGTGCACCATGCTTAGTCTTCTTAATCTTCATAAGCTATTTGATCCAAATACAGAAAAAAACTAAGTTGAAAAGCTTAAATTACTAATAGTATGTGAATACAATCTTAACTGGGAGAACAGTGTCAATAACTGGTGAAATCATTCA